GGAAGGTGTCCACACCCCAGAGATACCAGGAAATACTTGCTCCTTTTTGGGACTGGAAAAATGCAAAAAAACAGGAAAAAAAAWTGTGAAACTCTTAATAATGAAATGTGAGCAATTCAAACCCAGTCAGGTGTTGGTGCAYCCCAGTTATCGCCATCAAAAATGGCCTTTTCCAAGGATTTCCAAGGATTTCTGCTGGAAATAAGGATCTGCTCTTCCAGGGGTTTGATTGCAATTCCACTCTATTGCCGGGATTAAAGGAGGGCTCTGTGTGCTCTGGGAGCATTGGAAATACTCTCGGGATACTCCAGGAATACTCCAGGGGGCTCCGGGAATATGGCACTGGGTGCTGTGGGCAATGTGCTGATCCAGGAGTCAAATATCCCATTGAGTCAAATATCCCATTATTTTAGAGTTATTTCACTATTTTACTCTGAAGTTATTTCACCATTTTACTCCAAAGTTATTTCACTGTTTTACTCCTCCCACGAGCAGGGATGGGGGTGAACCTCCCGAATCCTCCTGCCCGGAGAGGGAGCATTTCCCAGGCTTTTTCCCAGGTGGGATCTGCTCCCCAAATCGTCCGCTGTGCTCTGGGAGTATCGAGAATACTCCAAGGATACTCCAGGGATACTCCGACAATACGCCAGGGTGCTCCGGGAATGTGGCACTGGGTGCTGTGGGCAATGTGCTGATCCAGGAGTCAAATATCCCATTATTTTAGAGTTATTCCACTATTTTACTCTGAAGTTATTTCATTATTTTACTCTGAAGTTATTTCATTATTTTACTCTGAAGTTATTTCAGTGTTTTACTCATCCCAAGAGCAGGGATGGGGGGGAACCTCCCGAATCCTCCTGCCCGGAGAGGGAGCATTTCCCAGGCTTTTCCCCAGGCGGGATCTGCTCCCCAAATCATCCACTGTGCTCTGGGAGTATCGAGAATACTCCCAGGATACTCCAGGGATACTCCAGGAATACTCCAGGAATGTGGCACTAGGTGCTGTAGGCAATGTGCTGATCCAGGAGTCAAATATTCCATTATTTTAGAGTTATTTCACAGTTCTATTCTGAAGTTATTTCAGTGTTTTACTCCTCCCACGAGCAGGGATGGGGGGGAACCTCCCGAATCCTCCTGCCCGGAGAGGGAGCATTTCCCAGGTTTTTCCCAAGGCGGGATCTGCTCCCCAAATCGTCCTCCGGGAGGTGGGAGGTGGCTCTGGCCGCACTCGGAGCGGGCGGGATGCGCTCCTTTGATACGGGAGCCCGAGCTGGCGGCGCTCCCCGCTCTGGCAGCCCTTTGGAAACGTTTCCAGTGGGGCCTGGAAATGCAATCCATTATCTGATAGTTCGGAGCAGCTTTTTTAATTAAGGCTCTGGCCAAGGGCTGATTAAAGGGGTGTGAAGGGAGGGGGTGTCCCGAGGGATTTGGCACCTCCCGGGCTCTGTCACCTGGGGCAGCTCCAGGGCTCACTTTTCCTCC